TTCAAGGAAACGGACACATAATGCTGATCGATTTCGATCTCTCCGCTAAGCTCTCTCCAAAATCTCCAGAAATTCGTCAACCTCTCGAATTGCGTTCCATGTCAGATCCGAAGTCGAAGAGCACGAAGAAGAAGAAGTTTCCATCATTCTACCGGTTCTGTAGCTCGGGAATTTCGCCGGAGGAACTCGTTGTTCCGGCAGATCGTCCGGTTCCCAGGTCCGACTCGGTAGAGAAGACGAATTCCTTCGTAGGAACAGAAGATTACGTGGCGCCGGAGGTCATAATAGGCGACGGCCACGATTTCTCGGTGGACTGGTGGTGCTTAGGCGTGATGATGTACGAGATGCTGTACGGGAAGACGCCGTTCAGAGGATCGAACAGGAAGGAGACGTTTTACAGAGTAATATCAAAGCCGCCGGATTTGGCCGGGGAGCCGACGGCGTTGAGGGACCTAATCGGGAAGCTTCTAGAGAAGGAACCGCACCGGCGGATCACGGTGGAGGAAATCAAACGCCACAGATTTTTCCGAGGCGTAGATTGGGAGTCAATTACAGAAATGCCCAGGCCGCCGTTCATTCCGGCGTCAATGGAGGATTTGGAGGGGGTGGGAAATGGTACAGAAATGGAGGTGGAATCATTTGTGGAGGGAGTGTTCAAAGTAGAGGAAAAGGGCAAAAATAGTCAAGGAGAAAATGGGAATAACAGAGAAGTTTGGATTGAAGGACTGGATCATCATCCCACACAACACCAACTTGAGCATTTTTCAGTATTTTAATTTATTTTAATGCGACTTGTACTTAGCTTTTTTTTTCTTAGTTTTAAATATAGTTTCATGTTTTGCTAATCGCTATTTAGAGTAATTAACTTGTGCATAAAGTAATTTCCACAAAAACTGAAAGCAAAAATATCTCATAATTGCTGCTCTGAAATAGTGTTCTATGTACAAAATAGTGGTGGAGAAAAGCAGAAGTCGACATACCAAACAAATTAAAATCACTTCCACTCAAAGCAAAAGATAAATCTTTAAAAACTGTGCACTGTCAAACACTCTCTCAGTGAGTTGATTATTTCATTATAAAAAATTATTAACACAAAGAAAGAAATAATATCGAGTTCAATGCTATACTTCTCAATGACAAAATGGATCCACCTTTGGCTTCGGACAGAGAACAGAAAAAATGAAAATATGATGGAAAGGAATGCAAAGAAAATGATCCACTTTTAATGATTTTTCCTTTTTCCTATTGCTTCTTCTCTATGCCATTGGCGTTTACTTTTACTCCGTATATTTTATCAAACAAGTACTCCGTAATAAATTTATGTTAGGAAGAAATAATATATTTTTTTATAATGGAAAAAAATTATAATTTGACTCTTTAAAAATGAACAAAGAACTTACGGTTGCAATGAGTAAATGCCCTATATATGTATATAAAAAAAATCCCTTCCTGGCAGGGTAAGTCAGGAAATTATTTCCTCCCAGTGCCATTCGGAGTTCCCTACTCCGTTCCAATTCTTTTTTTTTTAAATTGAATGTATAGATGGAGTTAGCTACTCCGTCCCAATTTAAAACAAAGCTTACGGAGTAAAGTAATCCGTTTGCCCTCTTAGTTTATCTCCTTTTTTTATTTAGTGTTTTTAGTTTTCTTTACTTTATGTTTTTTTAGTGCTCTTTATGTTTTTTAGTTTTTAAAAAAATTGAATTTTTTTACTTTCTTTTTTCACTATAACTTTTTCAACACATTTATTTTAAATTAAAAAATATACTCTAAATTATACTCCCTCCGTCCCAAAAAGATCTATCCATTTCATTTTTTGCACATATCATAAAATACTTTTATCTCGTCTCAAATGCCAAAAATTTTTTTAAAACAACTTCTACCCGCAATAAAGGATAAATGTGGTAAATTTTAGAAATTTTAGATATGCATAAGAGTGTTTTATGGGATGTGCAAAAACTGAAATGGGTGGAGCTTTTTGGGACGGAGGGAGTAATATATTACTCTCTCTGTTCAAAAGAGATTTTCCTATTATACGCATTATGAAATTTGGCGGACTTTATTTTTGATTTAATTTATTTGATTGTATTGTAGGTGTAGAATTGAAAATTAAAATTTATATAGTAAAAACTTAGATAAAGAATTTTACAAAACACAAGGTGACGTGACTATCTTATTTTATGAAATGATGAGTTAAAGGGTGGTCAAGTTATTTTTCAAATAAACCACTCATTTATTTTTCAGTTTCAATTAGTTTTTTAAAAGTTTTTAAAACCATTTTTAATTTCTTATTCTTAGTTTCAATTACTTTTTAAGTTTTTTTAGTTTTAATTATTTTAGCAACAGAGTTAAAATAGACCACCTAAGGGTGATCGATGGTCCCCCATAAGACCAACAATAGACCACCTCATGTTATAGAGATTCTACAAGATTATAGATTTTATGGGTGGAGAAAGTGGGTAGATTACAGTTAGATTGAGCTCTTATTACTTCTTTAGTGGAGAGATGGAGACCCGAGACCCATTCATTCCATCTTTGATTAAGAAAATTATAATTGGAATAAAAATTTGGGAAAAAAAATTCGAACAAAAAAAATTTGGAACAAAAATTGGAAAAAGAAAGCAAAAAACTCCATTTGAACAACAAAGCAATAAACTCAATAATTGGACATTATTGAACAACAAAGCAACAAAGCAAAAAAGTTTGGGAAAAAAATCAGAACCAAAATTTTAAACAAAACATGATACGGAGTAGCTAACTCCGTTTGACAATTAAATAGAGTAGACGGAATAGGCTACTCCGCTTATGTCAATAATAAAGACTGAAACGGAGTAGCCAACTCCGGTCGGTATTATTCAGGAAATCATGAATTAAAAAAACATATAAAGGAATGAAATGCAACCAATCTACACTGGCAGGGAATTCACCCTACATTGCAATCTTATGTCATGGGATGACCCGAGAGTGTTTCGATGTCCTGTTCATAAATTTGACGGTTCTTATTCCTCCTAACCCCCGGTAAACCCTTCCACCCCGCCCTGACCCATACACACCCCCAACCCCTTCAGTTGCACCCTAGAAGTTAATTTTGACTTTGAAATTAAATCTTCACTTCAAAGTCAAAATTAACTTGTAAGGTGTAATTGAATGGCGTAGTGGTGTGATTGGATCGGGACGGGGTGGGGGTTTTACTTAAGAGTTGAGGTGGGTAGAAACCGTTAATTTTACGAACGGAATACCGGAGCGCCTAGATCATCCGATGTCGGGCAATATCATGAGAACCATTTCGAAAAACTTAGGGGCTGTTTGTTTCAGCCTCTTAATGGTTCAGATGTCTGAATGATTCAGCACTTAATGGTTCAGACTGTTTGTTTCAGCCTCTTAATGGTTCAGATGTCTGAATGGTTAAGAGATTTGCCTCTGAATGATTAAGAGCTGTTATCTGAATTGATCAGACATTTGTCTCTGAATAGTTAAGCAATATACTAGCTCTTAATGGTTCAGACCTCTTACTGGTTCAGCACTTAATGATTCAGATCTCTTACTGGTTCAGCACTTACCCATTCAGAAGTTGCCAAACAGCCCCTTATTTTTAAAGGGAATGTAGCTCGCGCGAGAATCATGGCATTGATGGGCTTATTGGTTATGTGCTTTCCATTGAAGTTAATGCAACTTTCAAGTTTCAAGTTTTACACCAAACAGGCCACACAGATCACTAACGTTAGGCAACCATCCAACACGTGCCTCTACCCAAAGTTACCCGACAACCATCACCAAAAGTGTATTTTATGCTAGATTTGTGGACACCAATCACACCATTATTTTATAGGCAAATTCTTATACTATATTTGATTCAAGAAATTTGAAAAAAGAAAAGAAAAAAATGAGATGAAAAATTATTTTTCTTCTTTGGTTTGAGAAAAAAAAAGAAAAAAGTAGATGTAAAAGAAAATGAAAAGACAAATATATTAAGATGGAAATGGAATTCTTCTCTTTTTGATGAGAAAAACAAGAGCAACTTGTTTTTTTTCTTTTCCTTCCTAAATCCTTGAGCCAAACATAGTGTTAGTGATCTTTGAGTTGATATTGATTTTATTCACCTTAGCACAAAAATACAATCCAAGTGAGTTTTGTAAAAGAGAAAATTTATTTGTAAACCCATTTTGAAAAATATATTAAAAGAGATGTTATAAAAATATTTTATTTTAACAAAATACTACTTCGTAACAAAAGTAACTGCAATGATAATTTTAGAACGGATGCAGCATGTAACTATTCCAAGTTTCCAACCCGATGTCAGTATAATGAAAGAGGAGGGTTCCCATGACATTTTGAACCAATGTATGACCTAGGGGTGCTCCAGTGCCCCGTTCGTAAAATTGACGGTTCCTACCTCTCCTAATGAAAATAATAAAGCCATCGTTTTAATGACATGCCTTTTTATATGTATGCTTAGAATTGCCAAATGCCCTAATTATTTGTGTCAAAATCCTTTATTTTACTGCAGAGCGAGTGGCAGATCCTCATTGTTAGATGTTAGGAATGTTTTTTTTGAAAAAAGAAATTTTGTTAAAAAAATTTACAGTGACACAAAGTATGATTCAATCAAATAATTTCTATTACCATTTTGTATCATTATAAAACATTACACTAGTAAATGTAACACTTGCCTTTGAAATACAAAATGAAGTACTACCTCCGTCTCAATTTATAACGCCTGTTTCGGTTTACGATGTTTGACTGAAATTATTTTCAAACCATTTTATATGACAAATGGTATAGAATTAAAAAATAAAAATTACATATTAAAAAACTACATCAAAAGATCTACAAAACTAGTAGTAACAATAATATTTTATTTTATCAAATTACTAACGAAAATAAAAAAAGAAAGTGAATGAAATTTGACCCTGTGAATAGTAAACAGGCACTATAATTTGGGACGGAAGAAGTACAATTTTCGGTGTACAAATATCATTTCCATTTTTAGATCTTTTTTATTACTACCACAAGTTTTCTTAAAAGTAGTTCTAACAGTTTACCTAAAAACCTTTAAAAAATTAGACTGCATAATTTTTTAGGAAGTGTGGACTAAAAAGGCAACACAAGAGATGTGAGCAAACAAATAGAGTACTTAAAAAAACAGAAGATAGCAAACTTAGCAATACATAAGCCTGGCAAAGTGCCTAAAAGTACTCCGTATATGAGGAAGGGAACAAAATGTTTAAAACCAAAAAGACATGCATTAAGGTCATTGAGAAAGGCAGAGCCAAAAATAAAACATAACAATAACGGAAAGTGCAACATAAGAGTTGATCACTCGTCTTCCTGGCTACGAAGCCTCGCCAATTTGTTGGTCACCACAACATCCAATTGGGCAGCACGTTCGACAATTTCCTTCCTCTTCATGGTAGAGACATTGTGGGCTATCTCAGCACAGTAAGTCCTGCAAGTCGAAAAAAGGTAAGAAAACAGAGGGAATAATCGAAACATGACCACTAAGGAGAACAGCTTTGATCATGTAATAAACCTGTTGTGCATCATCAAAAGTTCCAGATCCTGAACGTTGTGCACAACAAACTTCTTGAACCCGTTGGGCAGAAAAAATCGGGTCTTCTTGTCGGAACCGTAGCCAATGTTTGGCATGAGAGTGCTTCCTTTGAACTTTCTTCGCACCCGAGAATCAATACCCTTGGGCCTCCTCCAGTTTTCCTTTAAACATGAAAACATAACAAAACATGAATCAAGATTGATAGTTATTGCTTAGTACTCCTAGTTACTGTTAAGCATAACTACAATTACAACAACACAACCATAAACCAAGTATAATCCCACAACTACAACACATTTAAATACACTATGCTCCATAAAAGTACATTATATGACGTAACAACTCTTTTTGGATTCACATATACACCATAAGATGATAAGTTGTGCATTTACCTGTATAGATTTGCAAGCTATAGGGAAATAGAAATAGTTTGTGATGCAAAACAATCTGAAAAAAAAGGGAAATGCCTGCCAACTGAGCATCAAACTCCTTGGCACAGTTTCCTTTTCTACTAAAGATTAAAATTTCATCCACACTCTCTTTAACAAATACAACATGCTTCAGATAATATCCGAAAGGGAATGAAAATGACAAAAGTCATTTTGTACAATAATACATTACTGATTCTCTAAATGACTGCAGAGATAGAAAACATCAAACTAGAAACCCTAATTTCAAACTGATACAGCAAAGCATCATAACAGATAGTGAGAATCAGTGATTTGATAGCCACACAAAACAAGAGGAATCAAACGAGGCAAACCTTCACAGAGACATATCTGTCACTCTGCGGCCTCTTGAACTTCTTGACACGCTTCTTCACAATCTTCTTGTTTAGCAACGGGACGGCCATCTTCCTTACCTGGAAATCAGATCAAAACTCAAAACCTTCAGTAAAGATGTCCCAAAAACGCATCAAAATCATGATTCCAGTTCCAGATCTCGATTCGAGAGGAATTCTATGCAGAAAGCGTCCGTAGAAAGAATAATAATCAATATGAATAGGAGATTATGCAAATCGAAGGCGAGGAATCGAAAACCTGCCTGGGACGAAGCACTGAGAGCTTCCCTGGGAACGCGAAGGAGAAGGCTGCGTTTAGGGTTTTCAGGCCCAGATTTATTTATAAAAATCGTAGGAAGAATGGACCGGATTTTTTTCTTTATTTGAAATGGGCTGGATCTTAAGAGTACACCTAGGGTCGCATAGCCCACAGACTAGATTTTCCTACACATCTAAATATCCGAGCCCATCAAAACTCAATCCGTTTCTTAGGATTTGGTGTTAACAAATTTAGAAACGGAGGAGTTCCAATGACATTGAAACCTCATGTCATAAGATGATTCGAGGTGTTCCTGTGTTCATTTCATAAAATTTACGGTTCATATCTCCGTAACTCCCGATAAACTTCCTCACTCCACCCCGAACACATTCATCAAACCTCTTCAATTGCAACTCACAAGTTAATTTTGATTTTGGAGACAAAATTTGACTTCAAAGTCAAAATTAACTTGTGGGTTGCAATTGGAAGGGGTTGGGGATGTGTTCGGGTCGGGGTGGTGGGTTTATCGGGGGTTCGTGAGCAAGAGGAACCGTCAATTTTACAAACGGGACACCGGAGCGTTCCCGGGTCATCCCATGAATTTGTCGGGCAATGTCATGGGAACCGTCCCGATTTAGAAATAACTAATTTTGAGAACAAAAATCAGCAAAAAACAAATGTCTCCTGAGGTCTGTTTCATTCAACTTATTACATATTCTTATTAAACAAAATCAGATTACACCAGATAAGATTTAATTGATCAGATTCAATCGAATCAAATCAGACTACTTTAGGTCTGAAATATGTTTAAATATAATTACATTTAGATCCAATCATATCATATTAGGTCTGTTCAGATCGGATCAAGCGAACGAAACACAACCTAAATCCCCAAGTTGAATTAAGTTGTCCGGGTTGAATTCGCATTATAAGTGAATGTAATTTATTTGTAAAACTCAATTAAAATTCATAGATATTGACCAAGTGAAATATCTTGTGGTTGTTTTTAGTCTCACTATTGATTCCTAGAAGTTTTTTATACTTACCTCGTAGTACTTTTTGGGATTGTATTGTAGAGTTTTTCTTTCATAGTCTTAAGATCCACATGTAAAATGTAGTTTTTTTTACACTTTTAATGAGTACAAAAGTGTATCTTTTCTTTTTGTAAAAGATTATTTTTTATGATATCAATGGACTAAGGTACATAAAAAGAAAATGAATCTCAGGATTATGTAAGAATTTACCTGTATTTGTAGAGTGCTTCTATTGTGCATCTTGGGTGTCATACTACTTTTGTGAACCTTCTCACATAAAAAATCTATTTTTTTTATTAAAAAACAAATACTTATTTAAACAGTAAAAAATGTTTATTTTGCTCATATATAGGTCCATGGTTGACCTTAAGTCCACAGTAGAATTTGCTGTATTTGTAAGCTAATTTTTAATTTTTTTAAGGCTATCTCAAACATACATATTCGATACCTACATTGGATGCATGACTATAACCAAGATACTCCGTATCATAGTTCCTTGGAAAGAAAGTTTTAAACAAATTTTCAAAACTTGTTATTCTTTCTTTTATGATATGAGTTATCATATAATATCTTAATCAATATTTCTTTGGGTAATTAATCAATATACTACTTTTCAACTATTTTCTCTCATTTTATGTTTCATTTTTTTTAGTGTTTAACCTATAGGTTCTCATTGTCTATCTATAAGGTATATTCTTAAGTAGATTTAAAGTCCACTTAAAATTTGTTAACCTTCTTAATGCTTACATAAATGCTTTCATAGTGTTATGATAAATATTTTTTTAATTTGTTATGACCCGATAGTTCATAATGTTATTTACAGAGTATTTAATTTCCTATTCTTCAAAAAAATTATTTTTTATTACGAGTAATAAGTTTATGTGAAAAGTTCTACTTGATCCATCGCATAAAACACTTTTACATTTTCTTTGTTTGAATGTCCTAAAAACTACTCACTTTCCTTATTTTCTACTCCCTTCGTCCCAATTTAAATCGCATGTTTCGATTTACAATGTTTGTTGAAAGCGCGAGGAGGTTGGAGAAAGGTGAGGAGTGACTTGTGGTACCATTCACCTTTTAATACTACTAGGACCTACTTCCCAATACAATAGCGCAATTTACGTACACAATCGCCAGTCGATCGATTAGGTTAATTATAATTACCATGCCCATTCACAGTCCTCATCATCATAAGCTAATTATCAATCAAGGCTTGGTTGTGGATTTCTTTGATCTCCTCTTCAAAACCACCAACCAGGTCATCACTTCCAGTGCCAGCGCCACCGTCCCCAGAGCGGCAAGCACCGCAATGTATGCAGATTTCCACTTCTCTGCCGGGCTTAGTATGCTCAGGCCTTCGAACACGTTGAAGATGCCAAGAACTAGCACTCCATACCCAACTCCATGGTGGTAGATGTTCCAGTAATTTCTGTACTTGTGATCCCTCTCCGGCCTCGCTAGTAATGCAAACACCTGCGCATTCGTAAAACAAAAAACAAGTTCAATCTAATCAAAGAGCCCATTAGTCTTTGGACAATTAAGTTGTAGCATAACACTGATATGAAAAATGTGACATCAAGAACAGAAATAACGACATAATCGGTAAAATCCCATAATTGCAAGGTCTAGGGAGAGTGTATATGCAGAACTTACCTAGCTCTACACGAGAGTGAAACGGTAAAAATGGGAGTAAAGAACTTATTCGAAACGAGACCGGTTTGAAAAGCATGTGTGGTGGGTCCCACATATATACGGATTTGATTAGAAGGGAGATTTACCTGCAGGGTTGCAAGGCAGAAGAGTACAATCCCGATAGAGCGATGGTTGTCGTGTTGAACACCCTTGGAGCTGCTCCCTAACATGAGGCCAGTGGCCCAGCCAGCAACACCAATGGCATATGCAGAAACCTGGCAAGCAATGTGGAGATAAAACCATGCTGGGTCTGCAGATTTGAAGGTTCTCATGTACCTGGCAATCATGATTCCTATTGGAAACAGAAATCCCCAGCTCACTGCATTAAGCATTCCATGAATCTGTACACAAATTTCCATTTCCTTAATACACACATTGCACGGTCGTGAATTGAGCGATGGATGATCCGAGCTATTCCGATACCATTTCCATTTTCCAGAATGTTAGTGTGGTCATTATGTATAGGGTTTGTTGTTTCCATTTTCCAGAAAACCTCTTGTTCAAAAAAATCATAGGAGATGACAATTTGAAGTAGAAAAATCTGCTAATTAATTGAGCTCTTAAACTCTATATGGACAAAGTGATTAGTTGGCTGTGTGTCTGTATTCCAACTTCACAATTGCCCAACAAAGTGACCAAGCAATGAAGTAATGCAAAAACAGTATGAAATCAAACAAAAGAAGAGGAAGAGAAACAGACCATGAGAAAAAGGCATAAGTATGAGCAACCCAGTTTTTAAATAAGTAATGTAAAAGGGATTATAGGGTTTGGGGAAACTCACATTCTTCTTCTTCAACCTAGATTCGCCGCCAGCCTCAATTCTGGATGTGCTATTGCTGCTCTCCCCTTTCAAGAGATCCAGAGTCCCTTTGGAGTTCAAATTAGCGGGCTGGAGAGCATGCCTGTCGGGAACGCCGCCGGTGACGGAGGGGCCGACCTGCCAGACATGGTTGATCGTCGACGTGTCCATCTCGGGAAGCACCACGGTCGCGAACAGCCGCATCACGCCGCCACTTGACTCCGCCGCAGCCTCCTTCACCCGGAACCACACACTGGACTCCTGAATGGAGGCGTAAGAGGTGACATTGTAGGTCTTAACGGTCATTGCGCCCTTGGAATCCTTGAACGCGACGAGGGATTGGGCGCCAATCATGCCGTCGCCGGTCGGGTTGATGGCCCAGGAGATCCAGCCGCCGGATTCGGCGACGAATGCGAGGGAGAGAGTGGAGTTGGGGCGGGAGTAGGTCCAGTGGATGTAGGAGGCGAGGGTTGGTAGGTCATTGCAGTGAGCGAAGAGCTCGTTCCTGGTCGGAAATGTCTGCGATGAGCAGGTCTGCGAGTCCGACGGCGAGATTGTAGGGAGAAGAAGAAGAAGAATGGTTAGGGCAAGGAAAGATGGAGTCGGTAGCGCCATTACTGAGAGGCGAGAGAGAAAAATTCGGAGCTCTGTACAAATATCGTCTGCTCGCTGAGACTGATACGCTCACAGGGAACGGAACGGAAGGGTATAAAGCAGTCAACGTCGAGAGGGTACACTACACACTATTGGCCCATTTTAACTCTCTTTTTGTTTTGCTTGAATGGACATTTTACTTACATCCAAATAATATACACTTTCTCAAATTAGATTACAATTTTTTTTCATATTTTTTAAATAATTTTTATTTATCTGTGTGTTTTCATTGAGTATTTAATTAAATAAACTATTCTTGTCTCATCTCGTTTTGTAGAATTTTTGACGTAATTTTTTAATACCTAATTTTTATTTCGTATTGGTGTACTAATTCATAAATAAATTGATTTCAAAAGACAAGAGATTTTGTCTCGTAACTCCCAATTTGTAATCGGACCAAGGGAGTATGAAGATGTATAATGTTTTTCGTATGAGTAATGATACGGGTACACAACTTGGTGTATTCTATTTGTATACCTGCATTGTTAATTATTGATTTTATATTTTTTTAGTATTTTTCATTATTAATTAAATTATGTGGTAGAATGCTTTGGGACACACTTGGAGTACATTTTTTAGTGTATCCCTGGTATTTTTGTTTTCGTATATCTATATCAATACACATTTTTTAAATAAATATTCATTTTGAATAATTAAATATTTATTTTCAAATATAATCATTTTTTTTAAAGAATATTCAGTCACTTAGAAATAAGTATTTAGTTACTTGTAAACAGATATTCATCTTGAATATACAAAAAAATATTGTATAAATATTTGTAAATATCTTGATTTGTAATTATTTTAGGGAGTAGAAGGTATGAGATTTGAAAGTTTGTTAGAGTTTACACGAGAAGCCAAGACTCATACTTGTGCATTTATTGAGATTATATGGGAATTCACTTGTATGTAGTTTTGGAAGGTTGAATTAAAGGCTCGAGCAACAAGGAGCACAAACACATATACAAGGATTATTTAAAAAAAAAGAAAGAAAAGGGGACCCCCCACCATTAGAGGGGGAGGGACACTTATGGGTACTACCATGTATCGATGAATTCTTTAGTGTCGTCTCATTTCTATATTCAAATACTCACAAACTATAAAATCACTAATAACATTTGCCTACAATTAACCTAAAACATTTTTTTTGTTTTTAAATTTAAAATAAATTAAACAATTAATATAATTGTAACCCCTTCATGCTACAACTTTGATACAAAAATTGTATGGTAAAGATTTGTTTTGTGGCACCCTACCCACCTATGTGGGTAGGTGGATTTGTTTTGTGGTTTGGACGCCATGAAGCTTATTCATGTAGGTAACTTGTTCTCTCTTAGAGGTCTAATCTCATTAATCTACTGCCTTGTGAATGGTGAATGAGGTGAATCATATGACATCTTTCGATTACTTAGTACTCCGTATTTTAAAGTTACAACACCTTGCATCATCACCCAAAGAATTAAATTCTATACTCTTACAGAGAACACTAATTGAACGTCACATGCATGACACAAACGAAGCAGTCCAAGAACACTTTGGGTCTTGAACAAACCAAATGAGATAGTTATTTTGTCACTAACTCACTATTTGTGTGACAACTCCATATGTGAATTAGGGTCTCTATCAAAACTTTAGTTGCTTTTATCTCAATCTATCAAAATTTTCTCATGTGCCACGCCCTTCCTCCATAAAAATAAATTGATATGTATGCTAATTGACAATAATAATAATAATATGTTATTGCCAATCCACCAACATGAGAGGAGAGGACATGGGGAAGAGGAGGGAAGGTTAGTTTTTAGAAATTATTAAATTATTAAATAAAATATCCTAATTACTTTAAAATAAAAGGTTATAATATGATGTTACGTTTTGGTGTCAAAATAAAATAACTGAGGTCTTTTGATAACAATAAAACATACAATTTACTTCAAAAAAAAATAAAACATACAATTATTCACTACATTGTTTGCCAATACTTACTGCAAAACAAAATGTAACTAGAATAATTTATTTTATCAAATGATCAATGAAAATATATAAATAGACAACAATTATTTAGAACAACAATACCATACTTTATTAGAGAAGGAAACAAATAGGGAATAGGGAGTATTTAATTTTTTTATGATTGCAGCTTCCAAGTTGGAAGATCGTTTAAGGTCCTTGACATTGGGGACAATCAGGGCGTGGGTTCGTTCTACCACTCCCACCACTGGAACAACATCGAGCGCACCCAACCCGCAAGCGGTGGCAGCAAGCGGAGACGCATGACCCACCGGCGTAACCACCGCCCCTCGGGAGGTCACCGCCGTAGGCTCCTGCTGGGTGGTAGGCGGCGCCAGGCTCTCCGTTGGCAAGGACCACCACCTCTGACGGGATGGTCATGGAAACCAAAAGCAAGACGAGGAAGGAGAAAAGAGCAATCTTTGAATTGCCCATCCTCTTTGAAGTTCGTCTGCAAGTCGGATTTGTTTCTCAAAACTGGATGGTTTGTTTAATTTAGACCATGTTTTCTTATTTATAGGAAGGATTAGGTAGAAGACGAGTCCAGGACGGCGGCGGCCGTCGGCCCCTCATTCGGCAAGTGGTCTAACAGAGTTGGCTTTAAAATACTTTATCCATCAGTCCCACCAAATTAAAAGAAATAAAACAAAAATGAAGTCTTTACTGGTGGCTGTGGAAATTTCTTGACATCCTCTCCAAAAGAGAGGGTTGATTTGTGGAATTGGGAAGAACACGGGTTTCTTTCTCCCATCAAAATAGAAATTTGGTTTTCATAATCTCACCTGATGCTGGCAAGAATCACTGTACCCTACCCAGAAAGAAAAACAAGAAATGGAGACATCTCTCTACCTCTGGGTGTTCTTCATCGTCCTTCAACATTATTGTGTCAAGAATTGCTCCTCTGCATTCTCTTCTTCCACAGATGAAGCTGCTCTTCTTTCACTGAAACCCCATATGATCTCAGTCCCTTCTTCACTGGAAACTAATTGGTCTACCGGGAGTCCCGTCTGCGATTGGCTTGGGGTCACCTGCAATTCCCATAGCCCAAGAAGAGTCACCGCTTTGAACCTCTCGAATCTGAATCTGACCGGAGAGCTTCCTCCCCATCTGGGTAATCTCTCTTTCCTCACTTCCCTTGACCTGAGCAACAACAATTTCCGGGGAACTCTCCCCGCCGAGCTTGCAAGTCTCCACCAGCTGCGTCTCCTCCAGCTCAACGACAATGGATTCGGGGGGCAAATCCCAGAATGGCTCGGAACTTTGTCCGGGCTTCAAAGGTTGTCTCTTTCAGACAACAAATTCGTGGGCGAAATCCCTCCCTCTTTTGCCAATCTATCTAAACTGGAGCAACTGGAAGCATTTTCCAATTCTATAGAGGGAAACATTGGAGGGTGGATTTGGAAGCTAGGCAGTTTGAAGTTTCTTGATTTGTCCATGAATAAACTTAGCGGCGCTTTCCCATCACAGCTTTTTAACATCTCCACTCTCCAGCACATTGCTTTGGGAGACAACAACTTGCTGGGAAATCTCCCCTTTGACATGTGTCGCCGGCTTCCTCTTCTTGAAGTGTTTGTGTTGGCTAACAATGCATTGGGTGGTCAAATCCCTTCAGGTTTGTCGAATTGTTCACAGCTCCATGAGCTGACATTGTCAAGCAACAGATTCGATGGAGTCATACCTCAGGGAATTTGGAAACTAGAGAAGCTGGAACAGTTATATCTAGGACAAAACGGATTCTCCAAAGGTATGTATGAGTGTATGTATAATCCATTATTGCATTATATTCTCTTGTTTTAACAAACAAAAGTTTCAATCTTGGGATGATATGGTAGGTGTGATCCCACAAGAGATAGGCCATCTTCGAAATCTCAAGGGTTTAGGGTTGGGTGGAACTCAACTTACAGGCCTCATACCGGTAGCCCTATTCAACATTTCAACACTTGAGGATGTACACCTTGAACATAATAGCTTGCATGGTAGGTGAAAGAATACTAAATCTTATTGAGGAATTGATCATACTTGGTTTACGCTCTTAGGGTTTTTTTGTTGGTTTGTTTTGTTATGTGTAGGTGAGATACCAAAAGAGATAAGCAAGCTCCACCAAGTAACATATATCAATTTGTCCAACAATACTCTTAGTGGTCCTATACCAGTTGGTATAGGGAACATGTCAAATGTTATAGGACTTCATCTCTATGGGAATCACCTTAGCGGAACCATACCGAGCTCCATTTCAAACTTGACCCAACTCCAATCACTACAGCTAATTGGTAATGAATTAGTTGGAGAAATTCCTCTATTCCTTGGAGACCTAAGGTTCCTTGATTTTCTAAATCTGGGCTACAACAATCTCACTTCTCAAGGACTGAGTTTTATCACATCACTTACCAGGTGCCAAGACCTAAAGGTCCTGATTGTAAGTGGAAACCCATTGAATGGAAACATCCCAACTTCCATTGGCAACTTTTCATCTTTAGAGAAATTCTATGCGGATGGCTGCAATATTAGTGGGATCATTCCAGGCGAGATTGGGAACTCGAGCGAATTAATTTTGTTAAGCTTAAACTACAATAACCTGACCGGACCGGTTCCACGTACGATGAAGGGCATCCAAGGACTGTTCCTTCAAGGCAATGCCATTGATGGGTCCTCACTGCACGCGCTCTGTGAATTTCATAGCCTTCTTAATCTCAACCTCATCAACAACAATCTCTCTGGTTCAATCCCAGAATGCTTAGGGGCAATCACTTCTCTAAGATATCTTTTACTTGGTGATAACAAGTTGACGACCATACCACCCGGTGTTTGGAACCTTAGAGATATCATGGAGCTAAATGTATCTGCGAATTCCATTCACGGTCCCATATCCTCCCTTATGAAGAACCTAAAGGCAGCGATAAAGATAGATCTTTCGAAGAATCAGTTCACGGGTGAAATTCCAGACATCTTCAGTGAGATGTTAGACATGCAACATCTGTATTTGGGACATAATAAATTGACTGGCTCTATTCCTAGTTCACTTGGCAAAGCCATCAGTCTCGAAGTACTGGACCTATCACATAACAATATTTCGGGTTCAATCCCTAGATCCTTGGAGAATCTTAAACATCTAGCAAAGCTTGACCTTTCTTTCAATCATCTAAGTGGGGAAATTCCTTCCGGTGGCCCTTTCAAAAACATCACAAATCTATTCTTTTCGTTCAACAAAGAATTATGTGGCGACCCGAGGTTTCATGTCCCACCGTGTCCTCATCACTCAACTAACAGCCTAGGGCCAAGGAAGATTCTCCTACTTGTACTCATACCTGTGGTTGGGAGTACACTGCTTGTACTTGCCCTGGTTCTCATCTTCATACGGAGAAGATACGGAAGGAAAGATCAGAATGCTGGAAGAATCGAGTCCGGGTGGTATAAGGAAATGGAAAGAATTTCCTATCATGAGCTTGTTGAAGCAACAAGTAAGTTCAGCCAAGGCAATTTGCTTGGATCAGGAAGCTTCAGTCATGTCTACAAGGGAATTCTCAGAGATGGAACATTAGTGGCAATAAAAGTTTTTAATCTGCAAATGGATGATATCTTCAGAAGCTTTGAGGTTGAGTGTGAAGTTTTACGAAATGTTCGTCACAGAAATCTTACCAAAGTGATCAGTAGTTGTTGCACAGAGGAATTCAAGGCCTTGGTTCTGCAGTATATGCCGAAGGGAAGCCTTGAACAGTGGTTGTACTCCCACAACTACTTCCTAAGTTTCATCCAAAGGCTAGACATATTGATAGATGTTGCATGTGCCCTGGAGTATCTCCATTATGGGTGTTCGCCGCCTATTGTTCACCGTGATCTAAAACCCAGTAATGTCCTTCTTGATGAAGACATGGTTGCTCATGTGAGTGATTTTGGGATTGCAAAGTTGTTGGTAGAAGGGCAAAGTATCAACCACACAAATACCCTGGCAACAATAGGCTATATTGCACCGGGTGAGTTTTAATTTGTTTAGTTCTATAACTTGCTTATTGAAATTTAGAGCTGTCAAATCAGTTGGTCAGGTCAGATTCGGGTATGGGATACTTCGGGTTCGGCTTAAGAACAGCTTGTTCATGACCAGGTTCGAGTCGATCCAACGATTACCTTTATTTTTTAAAAAAATTAAGAAAAATCCCAGTGTCAATAGTACTAATAAAAAACTAAAAATGCAGAAGTTGTGGAAAAAATTAAGATAGTTATGTGATATCATTAAAATTTTGTATGAAAATATAAATTTATACGCTAAAAAGGAGTAGTAAGAAAAGAAATATATTTGTAATCTTATTTTTATAACATTAGATTTTATATTAAAGTATTTGATTTTGAAAATTTTTACATTACCTGGTCGGTCAGGTCGGGTTTAGGTTTGGTCGGGTTCAACCCATCTTAGCGGGTCATTTTGGGTTTAGACAACAAAACCATTGTTCAAAACCCAGTATTTTCGGGTCAGGTCTCTGGTAAAAAACTTGTCAGGTCATTTTTTGCTAGCTTGACAGCAAAAAAAAACAAATACATAAATGTCAATGTTGTTGCAGAATATGGATCACATGGAATGGTGTCAACTAAATGCGACGTGTATAGCTTCGGTATCATAACGATGGAGCTTTTTACAAGAACAAAGCCCAACGACGAAATCTTCTGTGCGGATTCAAGCTTGAGGGAATGGATTAAAAGTTGTACTCCTCATGCAGTAATCCAGGTTGCGGACGCGAACTTGGTACGGCCAGATGAACATCAAAAGCTGAAGGTTTTGTCATCTATCTTGGAGTTAGCTTTGCTTTGCTCAATGGAATCCCCTAATGAGAGGATGGGCATGAAATATGTTCTTGTTGAACTGAATAAGATCAGAAGGGAGTTTCTTTCACACTGCCACAGGTAGTAAAATGTTTTTGAGACTCTTTGGCAACAACATTAGATGTTATAGTGTTTTTAACTTCAGTGTAAATCAATAGTATTAAAATTTTATCTAAAACATTAACTCAAATCGAAAACGTTGTTCCCAAAGAAGGTTGAATGCGGAGTCTTGTTGTACACGTTTGTTACCTCGTATTTTTTTGTAATAGTTATCACATGTTTTCGTTTTGAGTTCATTGTCGCGTGTAATTATGATACAGAGTATGATGATTGGTGAAATAAATTTTTTTTAGTGGTCTCTTCTCTAATTATTCATGGAAGATTCAACAAAGTTTTACGTTGGTTGCCGAGACCTAACGGCCAACACAGCCCTCCGCGTTGGTTGTCTCTTGGAAATTTTACCTCCTAGGACGATCAATACAGACTCCCTCCATCCCATATGGGATAACAATTTTCTACTTACGAGGTAAAATCTTACTTTTAAAAAAAAATGATTTATTCAAAAATTGGTACAAGGATAATTAATAAATATACATATTAAAAACTATGTTGAAAATTTTATAAAATAAGAGGTGACAATAATATATTTTTATTAAATGATTAATAAACATATATACAAATAAACTAAAGTTATTGAAAAATTACACAAATAAACCAAAGTTATTGAGAGTTATAACAAAATTGGACCATTCTATGGTGCCCCCAAATGGTTGTTATCATGAGTGTACCCAAGCTTTGAACAAATGACACAGATGATAATCATCTGTGCGAGGTTTGGATGCACTCATAGTAACAACTATTTGGGGGACACCCTAGCATTTTCCAACAAAATTGCTTAGTATAATCTGGGACGAGGTGAGTAAGAGAGTGTTTGGCATTGTGTTACTATTCATGATTTAGCTTTTACTTTCAGTGATAATCATTTTATTCTGTTTGACATATCAATTTCTGCTTTTCTTCACCATCATTTTGTATATAGAATATTGTTTCGGAAAAACAGTTATATTACGTATGATATTTTTGCTTTCCGTATTTGTCAAAATCACTTTATTCACAAATTAATCAATCAAACACCCTCTAAATTAGGGGTGGGCAAACGGGTCAAGGAACCGTGAGTCGGAACCGAACCGCCAGGTTCGGTCCAGGTTAGGGGCGGGTCCTCTTTTCAAAAATTTATAACGGTCCGGGCAATCCGGTCCTTATATATTTTAGGGTCGGTCCGGTTCCCCATTTTGAAGTTATATTGGACCTGGATCAGACCGTTTTTTAATACCCCAGTATTTTTTTAGTAAATACACCGGCCTTAGCCTTACGATCGAGTTACGCTCTTCAATCCTTTGCATTAGTCAGAGAATCGAAAGTCACCAAACAGTTTGTTGTTGTTGGATGATAATGGGTGTAAATTTTTCTCTCATGTCCCTCTTTGTCATTATTTTTTCTTCATTTAGGCCTTTTTTGTGTTGGATGACTTAAAATTGACAATAGGGATAGTACATTGTTGTGGACTAATGGTGAATGATCATGTATGTATTATTGATTTATTATCACTTTATTTTTTAAATATTAGTATCATGATAGGTTCGGACTCGTTGACCCGTGGAATTGGTTCGTTCCAAACAAGCCGGGTTAGGTCCGGTTTCAATTTTAAAATTTTGAAAACCATTCCTATCCGTACCGTTTTAATAAAAACATGCGGAATCCAATTTCTACAGCTCCAGCTCGTGCCCACCCCTACTCTAAATAATCCTCTAAATAATATAACACTGTTGCACTTTTCTGCAAATGCTCTGCCGCCGATGGCATTCTGATTCGCCGCTCTCAAACGCAAACACGTCAATAGCCGATTCGGATATTCTCTCATCATCAACAGACAAACTATTCGGCGGCCGACGGGAGGGGAGATTTGATTTGAGTGGCCGTGTATGGAGGAATGATGGAAGGTCTGCATAGGCGGATAGACACATGGATCAAAGATCATAGTGCCAGGATCACGAGCATCACGCGTTCGCAACTACGGTGGCCAACGGCGGTGAAGTGGCCGTGGTGCGATGGAAAAGAGCACAGGAAGCGGATTCAGGAGGAATATGAACGGAGGAAGAAGCAACTCAAGGATCTCTGCTTTGCTGTAAAGGCCGAATCCGTCTCCGATTTGCAGGACATCCTTTGCTGCATGGTGCTGTCTGAGTGTGTTTACAAGGTTAGTGCTAATACCGATTCAAATTTCGTGCAAGGTTATTGTAAATTGAAGCTCATTGCATGCCCATTTGTTTTTGATAAATCGGGCAGTGGATTATTACTCATTTCATTCATTAACCTTCTAGACTTTAGTATGATTCATCAATTCTGAATTATATGATTCTGCGTGAATCAGAATTAGCGGAAGAAAGAACGCAAATCAAATTGGCCATTAGTGTTCCGAGTGCATCTAATTTTGATTATTGTACTGCCTGGGTTCTATTGAGTAATGAGCATAATTTTGGGAACTAATCAATCAGAGCAAACAGCAACAGCCAACCCAGCAAAATCCCACAAAAATGGGTATGGGTTTGGTGTATAGTGTATACACACCTTCCTAAAGAAGGTAGATAGGCTAATTATCAACTAAAGCTAACTGTGATGATCTAATTTACTAACTAGATGAGTCAGTTTCAAGAGCGACCAAGTATTATTTTGCATTGACCCAACCCATTATCTTGCATCTCAAAACATTACTTAATAATTTCAGAGAAATGCATCTGACATTGTACGGGCGGTGAACAAATTTATGGCTGATTTTGGAGGAAATGTTTCTATAGAACGGGTTCAACCCTCTTCAGATCATGTTCCACACAGGTACATTTTGTATATTGAAAACATTATTGTCCCAATTTTGAGGGAAGAGCTTTATGCTTCAAGAATTTCAGGTTGGTGTATCTAATATTTGTATAGTGTGCATCACAGTATCCTCATACATTGGGGTGATAAATATCTCTTATTTTACTTTCTAGGTATTTACTAGCTGAAGCAGGAAACACATTATTTGCTTCATTTATTGGGACCAAGCAGTACAAGTAAGTGATATTTCGTATCATGTTTTCAAATATTTTTTATTTTTGGTTTTTATTCCAATCTCAAATGTTCATTTCATTTCATATTTTTCTCCCATTTTCTATTCATAAAGGGATGTCATGGCTGACGTGAATATATTTCAAGGTGCCATATTTCATGAAGATCCCACGGAAAACTTCAATGGGAATGAATCCACACAAGTGGAAACTGAGAAAAACAATGTTGAAAATTTCTCAAAATCTATGGACTTGATGCCTAAACCAACAAAATCAATGCCAAAACCAGCAGTTCACAAGGTATCACGGTTCCTGATGCATTTTTCTGTCGTCCAACATTTTGATGAATGCTCTTTGCTTCCAGCAATGCAATCACTTCATTTTGTGTGTATGTTGTATGTATATAATTTTCAATTCCCTCATTTTAGGGATTCATGGCTCGTGCTAAAGGAATACCTGCATTGGAGCTGTACAGGCTTGCCCAGAAAAAGAAGCGGAAGCTTGTGTTATGTGGACATTCCCTTGGTGGAGCTGTAAGTTGGTTTTGCTTGCTACTTGGGTATATCAGTGACTGTGTGTGTAATGCATAACGTTGGAGACTCGAAATTCTTGCTTTTGCATGCAATCCATGACTTGCTTTGTTTTTCAGGTTGCAGTCTTAGCAACTCTTGCCATTTTGAGGGTAGTTGCTGCTTCATCAAAAGAACATGAAAAAATTCAGGTGAAATGTGTCACATTCTCACAGCCACCGGTTGGAAATGCTGCTTTAAAAGAGTAAGCTGATTTTTACATTTTTTGTCATGTACTCCGTCTCTGTCCCGTACTTTCCTTATCGTATCGACTTGGCTTGCATTTTAATAAAGTAGAAACTACGTGATTGAGGTTAATGCAGAGGGGAGACGACTTAAAAGGATACTCAAAGGAATTTTTTAGGCCATCCTAAGGACAACCGTATGAAAAATATGTGACGGAGGGAGTAGAAATTATTAGTTGTGTAGCTTGATGACAATTTTTTTTAAATCTTCTTCTTCAGTTACGTGAATAGCAAAGGGTGGCAGAGCTATTTTAAAACCTATTGTATTCCAGAAGATTTAGTGCCTCGTATATTGTCTCCTGCATATTTTCACCACTATAATGCTCAGCCTCTACCAACACCATCTGATGTTAGTGGTTTGACATCCATATCAAAACCAAGAGGGATGGATACGAAGAAGAATGAAAAGGGAAAAGAAAAGGATGGGGAGCAGCTGGTGCTGGGTGTAGGTCCAGTCCAGAACCCATTTTGGAGACTCTCTAGGCTTGTGCCTTTGGAGGGTGTTAGAAGCCAGCTCTATAAATACAGTGGCAAGAAAGATGAACCTCTTGAGACATCAGGCAGCGGTGGTTCAGCATTACCATCATCACTTAATGATATATCTGCCCCACGGTCTCTTGAAATCCAGGAGGGTTCTGATGGAATTACTCTTCGACCATTGCCCCAGGCAGTTGAAGATACTTCTAGTGAACTTAAAAATGGAAAATTTTCTGCAAGTAATGGAGAGAAGAGGTCACGAAGAATAATGCCTTCATTACCTTCATATGTACCATTTGGCCAGGTTGATATATTGCATTCCTATTTTCTACATGAGCCGTGCGCTTTATCACCTTGTTAAAAGTGGTCATTAACATTTTCATTTTCGCCATGGAATCCGTCTAATACACTCAAATACATATTTATATAGCGGATTATAGAATGTTTGGTTAGCCTGCATTATTGCTGATGAATAACAAAGATCATAGTTGGCCATTTAAGTTCCTATCTTTCCTTTAATCATTGTCATAATTATTAGCGCCTTAATGCCAACTAGTTGGGGTCAGTAACATTAGATTTATAGTGTCAATCATTTGTATAAATTAACTAAGACTGTGATTCGTGCAAGAAAAAAAATATAGCATGTTGGCAATTTTTTCAAGTTGGATGCTCTTGTGCGTCAACAAAATATGCTTCAGCATGTGAATTTTTAAACTAACTAGATCATTTGTGGCAGCTTTTTCTTCTGGGGAGTTCATCCATAGAGTTTCTTTCTGGTGCAGAATATTCCAAACTGATATCGGTACGAGTTCTATTAGTTGACAATCCCAAAAAGAATAACAAAGGAGTTTGACAATAGTCTGTTAATTTATTTAACTGGAATAGTTTACCGAACTTCTCTCATTTTGCTCACTTTCTTATGGCAAAGACTTTTTCAGGTCAAATCTGTGCTTACTGAAGTA